GGTGTGTTTTATTCTCTCATTCATTCATTCATTCATTCATTCATTCCTTTTTTCTGACTTTCAATAAGTGTTTGTTGAACACGCTGACAAAAGGCAAGCATCTGTGAGGTAATGAGAAGAGCATGGTGGACAAGGCAGACGCAGTCTCCGCACTCCTGGTCGTTCCAGCAGAGTGAGGGTGCCCTGACGGGGGCCAGGCAGGATGGGGGAGCACAGCCCAGAGAGTTTGGGGCTCACACTGGGAGGAAGTCACTTCTGGAAGGAAGGAATCACGTGAGCTGCAGGGGGCCCTGCTCTAGGAGGGTGGACCATCTCCTAGGTACCATGCGCAGTGGCCACGCCCAGCCTGGTCATGTGCTGATGGCTTTCACTGAGCATACGGAGATTATAGAAGCAAATCTTATAACTTTACTGATGTCTTCTCTCTTTAAAAAAGCGGTTTGTATTATGAAAAATAAACTATATACGGAAAATGTGATTGAGTGTAGGTATGGGGTGTGTGTAGAGTCGATGGAGGAATAGTAAAATGAGCTCGTGTACCCTGGCCAGTGGCTCAGTTGGTTGGAGTGTCGTCCCATACACCAAAAGGTTGTGAGTTCCATTCCCGGTCAGGGCACATACCTAGGTTGCAGGTTTGATTGCCTGGTTAGGGTGTGATGTGTCTCTTTCACATCGATGTTTCTGTCTCTCCCTTTCTTTCTCTCTAAAATCAATAAAAAATATCCTTAGGTGAGAATTAAAAATAAAAAAGCTTGCATGCTGTCATTCTAACCTAGGAAACTGAACATTATCCTCAGTGGGTGCCTCTGCTGCAGTCATGACCACTGGGTGAATTTTGTGCCAGTGTTCTCTCTGGCTCCTCTCTTTTCATGTGATGTAAAAGGTCATGTCCATGCTTGTACCAGGAGACACTGCAGTCTCACCGCCCTCTGTGTACCAACACCAGACAGACAGGCTGGAGAGCTGTTTTTAAATAAATTGCTTTATTGCACTCTTTTAAGCAGGAGAATATACTGGTGACATCAAAGTGCTTCCACAGTTTTTCAAAACAAAAGCCTTCTTTTCATCTCAAGGAGAATCTTAACACAGTTTGTTAACAGGATGAGGTTTTGACAAACCAGGGCACTACAGGGGACCCAGCAGTGACACGACCAGGAATTGCTTCCATGAGAACAGTTTCCAACCCCCATCTAGGCCGTGAGAGTGTTGATTCACTCCAGCAATGCTTCTCCAGTGTATTTCAGATGACTTTCTGGTGTGAGCGTTTGAGTTCACTTAGAGTAAAATCATCTTGACAGCTTCGCTGGGAGGCGTTACTTATGTTAATGCAGCCATTTAAAGTATTGAATAGATCCTGTCCGGAATAACCTCTTGGGCAAACCATCCTTGAATGTGCCTTTTCTGTTGTGGCTGGGATGGATGTTGTTTTATATTCTCCATTTGCTTCCCCCTCCCCCTAACCGCCAAACTGTGCTGGTTCTCCATCCAAAATAGAAGAACGTCAACTTTTGGGTTTGATATTTGACCCCTGGTGAGTAGATTCCTCAAATTTTTTGATCACTTATCTCATGATTTTTCAGGCTCTTTTCATTTGACTCTGTCTCCTCTACGAAGGGCTCTTTTCGTTTGTTTTCTTGCCCTTCAACTCTAGAGGCAAGATTCCTTCCTCAGGAAGAAAGTGAGCTCAGCTCCTGTTGCCATGGTGAAGCGTATGTGTGCCTTAACATATACCTGGAATCCAGAGTTGGCCGGGATAGGAAAACATTGGCATATCACTTCATCTTCTCATTTCATTTCATTTTATTTCATTTCATTTCATTTCTGTATTTTTATTCCTGAGGCGATTGGTTCTTCTGGGATTCAACACTTTCCCTCTCATCTATGGGTTGTTAAACTGAAGCTTTCATATTTTTTTGCAGCGATTGTTGCCACTATTCCAATGATTAATTCTTCAGCCGAAAAGAAACCTATTTACTCTCCTATTCAGGCCGATTCCAGTGGCAGTGCCTGGAGGATGTAGGTTAGAACAATAGTTTCTCTACATCTCAGCGTTCTTTACATTCTCTGTTTTCACTAGCCCCTGAAAACTCTTTATGACTCTGAGGACGAGCCCTCTGAATTCCACAGTGAGCTCAGTGTGTGTTTCCATGTACTCCCAAGTCCCTTAGAGGAAGTCTGCACAAAGCACCCCATTCCCCCTGTTAGCAGGCCAGCCAGCTCCTCCTGCTGGGGCTGCAGGGAATGTGGTCCCAGAGGAAACCTGTGTTTAGTTCCTCTTGTTACCCAGACGGGAGAAACCTCCCAACTGTCTCGTTCAGGCCCCTTGTGGTTGGTCAGAGACGGCAGCGCTGTGCACTTTGGGGTCTGTCCTGTGCGTGGTGACCGCGGGCAGCGTTACGCAGGGCGTCCGCTGGACCTGCTCCCTGGGGTCAGCTGTGCAGAGACTCAATGTTTCAACAGGGGATCCCTCTCCCCTCCTGTCTCACACGTAACGATCGCCTAGGACACCTCCAGTCTCTAGACTTGGGGTGCTCATCACAAGCAGAGGAGCCCAGGTGACCAGCGTGGTCGCTGCAGCGTGTTGAGGGGGACGCGGAGAAGAGGTCGGTGAGGTGGCCAGGCCTGTGAGGACTGTGGCCTGATCCTGGCTGATGTGAGGGACCCTGGAGGGTTCTGAGCAAAGGAGTGATAAGAGCTGCCGGGCATTCGGACCGGATCTCTCTGGCCAATCCCTGGATTGGCTGCAGGTGAGTGGGTGAAGGCGGAAACAGCCACCAGCAGGAAGCCACTGAGATAACCAAGTGCAGTATGGTGGGGCCTGGACCAAGACGGCAGCGAAATTAAGTCTGTCTTAAACAGATTGCCCAAAAGCCATTCAGGGATTTGGCTAGTCTTTGGTTCAAATTCCTGGCTGGGAACGTGGACGCTTGGCCTGAGACCATCTGTCAATCACACTCAGGGTGACAGTCTTGCAGCCAGGCCTCGGGGCAGGCCTGGTTTGGGAAAATCCTTGAGAAACCTTATTTATTGACTTTAAAGACGGCCTTTCCTTGCGGGGCTCCTCACTGTGGGGAACACCGGCGGAATCACAGGGTAAGTCAGGGTTGCCAGGCCGCGCCGCTTCCTGGAATCAGGGGTCAGAGCGGCCAGCCTGGCTCTGCCCTGCGTGGTGAACTCCAGGGCCCGGGGCTGCCGTGCTGCCGCCCACAATGGCGAGGGACGCCCTTTGTTTGCTTCTTGTGTGGAAGGAGGGCTTGTTTTGAGGCTTGGACCACAAATAATCATCCATTGTTCCCTATAATAATAATCCACCCTCTTTAGCAGAAAAAATCTGCCTGGTGTAGTGTGGCTATCGGCTTATTTGAAAGAATAGCCAAAAGTGTTCATTGTGTCCTGAGAATAAATATTTGGAAGATGGTTGTGAGGGCTGGGAGTCCCAGTTAAGACTCAGGAAGGAGAACTTCTGACTGAGCCCCTCCGTCCCGGGACAGTGCCTCCTTACTCTGCTGGTCCGTGACATTCTGAGAATAATTGGGACACTCCAGATACGGGTTCTCTCCAAGTGATGTCTTAGAAAAAGACCTTATTTTGAAGATGGGTGTTTTTAATCTTTTCTGAATTTGCTCTCCTGGTTTCCAATTTTAGGTCAAATAAGTTTTTTTGTAACCTTCATTGCTTCCATGGAAGTGTCTCCTTCTGAAGGAAGATTATTTTATTTTAGCAGCAAGCCTCATAATTCCTGCAGTTGCCTCTGATTATGGATCTTGGAGGGAAAAGCTATTTTTATATTCTGACTGATAGGATTTTAAGTACTATTTCCTGGGCTTAGGCTAACTGGAAAATGTCAACGGGTGAATTAAAATGGGACCCAGTGTGGTCGACTACTTCGTGAGTATGCATGTACCTAGCACACCGACTTCACCAATGAAGGCATGGTTCTGTGGGTGGGTTAAATAAGAAAGCATGGCTTTTAAATGACGTCATCTTACCTAGAATAGCTTTCATTGCTTTAGACATAGAAGATAAGCACTGGCCGGGTAGCTCAGTTGATTAGAGCATCATTCTGATATGCCAAGATTGCAGGTTCGATCCCCAGTCAGGGTACATATAAGAAGCAACCAGTGAATGCATAAATAAGTAGAGCAACAAATCAATGTTTCTTCCTTTCTCTCTTTTGACAGAGATTTATATAGCACATGATGGCAGCAGGTTACTGTATATGTATATATATATGTATATATATAGTAATTTTCTTGTGTCTTTGTCATCTTCTCTGATAAATATGCACTGTGGTATTCATGCTAAAGCCTACTCTTTTTTTCTTTTAATTTTTATTTATAGCTTTTAGAGAGAAAGATACAGAGGATGGGGGGAGAGAGAGAGAGAGAGAGAAATTTGTTGTTCTACTTATTTACACATTCACTAATTGATTCTTGTATGTTCCCTGACCGGAATCGAACTCATAACTTTGGCACATTGGATGATGCTCTAACCAACTGAGCTACCCAGCCAGGGCCATGCAATCCTACTCTTACCCCTTCCTGTTTCTCTCTCTCCAGTGACTGCTGGCGTATCAGCCTTGGAAGTATACACCCCAAAAGAAATCTACGTGGCCAATGGGACACAAGGGAAGCTGCCGTGCAAGTTCAAGTCTGCGAACACCACCAGCAGGTTGACCACAATCTCCTGGAGCTTCCAGCCAGAGGGATCCCACACCACCGTGTCGGTAGGAGTGCCTGCCTGCCTGCTCTTGGCTAGTCCCCCCGAAGAGGGTTCCCCACCCCTGCAGTGTGTTCAGTGAGCCCTTCTGACCCATCCCTCCCAAACCCAGTGAGGCTGTCGTCTGGCACAGACTTCAGGGCGCTTCTCTTGCTTCCGGCTCTCCAGGAAAAAACCAGTTCAGTTTCTCTTAAACGCAGCTTGTTTTCTCGTGTTTGTGTGTCACGGTCACCTGCCATCCCTCCCGTCTCCTCCACCATCACTCCCATCTCCTCCACCATCACATCCCATTTTGAAATGTATCTTTTCCACAACGCAGCCCCTGATTTACCTTGTTGACTCCATTCACAATTCATCCTGCATCTGTTCAGCTGCCATTTGCTTCACTTTTATTTGTATTTCTTTTAAGTATTTACGCACGCACGCACGCACGCACGCACACACGTCCATCCGTTCCAGTGATAGTCTTTGGGAGCTCTCCGTGCAGCGAGTCTGTGAGGTGTTCAGAAATGGGGGATAGCAGCCTGTGCTCTTGCCCGGGAGCAATTAGGAGTAAGACTGTCGATGAATCACCCTGAGGAGGTGGCAGAACAGAAGTACAGGCCGTGGGGTTGAAAGGAAGGTTAGTCAAGAACCAGATGAGTGCTGGTTAGGCTGGGTGCTTGTGAACCAGGGCCCCACGCTCTGCCTCTCGTCTGTGAAGTGGAGACTGTAGAACTTCCACAGGGAGTGCTAGGAGGATGGCCCGGGGCGAAGACCTTTATCTCCAGCGGGTCACTGAGTGCTGAGCCTCACTTCCTCCTCTGTGACTCTCTGCCGGACCTGTTATCAGCTGTGACCTTGAGGAAATGGCTTGAGTCTCCCTTTTATGTATAAAACTATGCGTGGTTGTCACTGTGGTTGTCCCTGTATCGCGGGGATGTCAAGAGGAGGAGAGAAGACACACAAGTGTGTTTTTCAGCAGAAACCAAATCCCTGTCTGGCTTAGATTCCGTGACATTTGCAATGGGACGTGTTTCTTTCCCTTTGAAGTCTTTGCGAAAAGCCCGCACAGCACACCCGCGTGCGCAGCGTGGAGAACGCCTGCCTTTGGGAAGCGCTCACGTGTCCTCTTTCTCTAATTGCAGTTTTTCCACTACTCCCAAGGGCAAGTGTACATCGGGGACTACCCGCCCTTCAAGGACAGAATCACCTGGGCTGGGGACCTCGACAAGAAAGACGCATCGATCAACATAGAAAATATACAGTTCATCCATAACGGCACCTACATCTGTGACGTCAAAAACCCTCCCGACATCGTCGTCTACCCGGGATACATCCGCCTCTATGTTGTAGAGAAAGGTACCTCCGGAGTATCTGGGCAGCAAAGGCGCCGTCCCGTGTCGCGTGTTGAGTGGCAAACGAGAGTACGTTGTGGGGTGTGTGTGCCGGGAGCGACCTGCCAGTGGCTATGTGCCCTGTTTCTGGGAACCTGAGGGTGGGCACTGCTGCCCACATGCGGGGTGAGCAGCTGGTCTCTCCTTGTGTACATCTGCCGTCCGAAGCCCAGTGGCCCAGGTTCAGGAAGATCACTTTTTCATGTGAATTAGAAGTAAGACCAAATTCACGATGCTCGATGGGCTGAGCCTGGGGAAGAAGGAGGCCAGTACTGTCTCAGTATTCTCCAAGAGAAAGTGTTAGCGTTTGTGCAGACAATACAGCGGTTTCTTCCATTTTTGGAGAAGTAGCAGGAAATGCAGGTTCTGGTGTCTCCCACGACGTCTGCTTTGTGGGTGAGTAGATGGAGGTAAAGCCACATCCCAGTTTTGCTTGAATCCTAGCGCATTGAGAAGGATTGTGTGTGCAGAAAGGCTGAGTTCTGTATCTCATTTTCTATCCGCTACTCTTTGCATGTCATTACTTAGATACTAGGATCTCATAATTTGGATAATAATAGAGGGTACGATAACTTGCTTCTTAGTTGAATAAAACTCCATTTCTTCTCTTTGTCACAATGGACCTTAACACTGTTTTGTTCTTTCTCTCCAGAGGTGTTGCCCATGTTTCCGGTGTGGGTGGTGGTGGGTATCGTGACCGCTGTGATTTGTGGGTCTCACCCTCCTCATCAGCATGATTCTGGCTGTCCTCTACAGAAGGAGAAGCTCGAAGCGGGATTACACCGGGTGAGAAACTGCTTCCGGGGAGGGGAGAGGGTAGGGACCAGGGTTTATAAAAACGTCTGTATTTTTTATGGAGAAAAGAATTGGGAAGAGTTTGCTACTAGTACAGTTTGCTTTAATGCCAGAGTCAGGCAGTCTGCTTAGGTGACTGCTGGTCAGTGTGGGATTGGACACAAATCCCTGTTTCCCAGTTTCTTCCCCAGATTTGGTGCAGCCAGCGGCTCAGCGGTCCAGGCTCTGTTTAAGTACCAGCCACTCTGCCAGTGGCATTATTAAGCCACAGACATCACTTACCCAGTTTCAGAGTTTAATTTTTATCTCTTGGCAATAATCTCATCAGGTGCTTCTTTTCAGTTAGGCAGCTATAAAACAAATCAAGAAGAGTTGTGCTAATAAATGACCCCTCCACCCCCATGGGATGGCACAGGGCTTCCTTTTTTATAGT